AGCAGCCGCTCGCTTCTTAGCAGCCTTGCCTCCAGCCTCAATCTCCCACTCCTTCCACTGCTGCAATTCATCCTCCATCTCGGCCTCGCGCTCTTCTCGCTCCGCCTGCTCTTTCTCGCGGATCTTCTTATCCTCCTCACGCCACCCGGACTGCAGTCGGAGCAGATGCTTCTCGTGCTTCGTCAGCTTGTGCTGCTCGTTGGTCTTGGCCTCGCCGGACTTAGTTGTCTTGGTCATTTGCGATAAGGGCATCTCGCGGTCAACGCGGGCCGAAAACTCGGCTAACCGTTCGCCTGGAAGGATCTTGGGCATTGCGGTCTTCCCGGCGGCCGGTTTGGATTCTTCGGCCTTTGTGCCTCGTGCGGGCTTTTTCTTTGACTCGGTTGTAGCCTCTGCGCCGGTGCGCTTGCGCTTCTTGTTCTCGCCGGTTTCCAGTCCGGAGGGGGCTCGCCGGCCTGTTTGCTGGAATTGCATTATGCGGCGGAACGCTGCCGGGGTATCATCTTCGGAGACGGTCTTGCGGCGGCTGCTGGGTGCTTTATTCGCGCTTGAGTTTTGATCTTGGCCTTGGTTCTTCTTGTCGCCTTGTTTGTTGCCTTGCTTGATTGGCTTGCCGTTTTTGCCTATCTTTGGCTTGTTTGCGTCACGGACTGGGAGTGATTTGGCGATCTCCGAGGGTGGCAGGTTGAAGAGACTGATGTGAGGACTCGTTAGACTTGGAACCTGGAGTTATCTATTCTTTGTACTCACGACTTGTCAGCCTCTCCGCGTCTCTTGTGTTTGTGAGGCATTGTGGGTGTTCTTGTGGTGTAAGTCTGGGTTGGAGTTCAGCGGCAACTTTTTTTCGAGGTTGACCGCCCTTATCTCTTATCGCCCACTTGACTTCTACTTGGGCACTTTGCCTGAAATTTATATCTTTAGACTCAATGGAATAATTGCAATTCTGACTATGCTAATGATTTGCCGGGGCTTTTTCCGGGGGGGATGATTCGGGGATTTTCACAGGCTCGTCCTGCCCAAGAAGCATGTGCCGGGCAATTTTCTACTATGAAAATATATTTAAGTAGTCAATTTTCTTGATAAAGTAGGAAACCGTTCGATTCAGTAGTCAAATAAGAGCAGAATTAAAGTTCCGAGAGGGTGCAGGCCAGAATAATAACGGGTATGCTGCGCTAGAAAAAGAATGCCCTCCCAAGCGCCACGGAAATGCCCAACAGTGAAGGAAAAAACATCCAAACGCCATGAAGAATGCTGAGAGTAAAAATCACAAAAGAAGCGGGATGAATCATTCGTCTTCGTCGTCGTAAGAGTCTTTCATATCAGCCCAGCCGCACTGCCAGCGCTTGCCCTCCGATTCACCACCGTTTCGAAGGTCACGAGCCTCAGGTCCTTCACGCCAGCAGCGAGCGGTGTAATCGTCACTCACAGTGATAAGCTCACCGGCTTGGGTCCATGACATACCAGTGACTTCTTTCTGGTGGCCTTCAACAAGAGGGGTACCGGATTGGTGGATCGGAATTGTGTCTTCAAGACGTCCAGACAAGCCAATTCCGGAGTTCGTGCGACGCAGGCCAGAGCGGGTGGTGAAGAGGGACGTCCGAGTGGGCGGACTTTCAGGGGGTGTTTGTACAAGGGGGTTGAAATATCTTTCATCGGTAGGGAATAGAATAGGACAGAAGTCACTGCTTCCAGTAGCTAGCATCTCTGGGTGATCGCCATTCGCTTTGCGGACAGCCAGCTTTACGTAGAAGGTAGAGACCTGGAGACGAGGGTGACGGAACCCGTAGAGAGGTCCGAGGCCATCCTTGTCAGAGCCTCCAGTCCGACGTGGACGGTTGTTATTGACCGAAAGTTCAGGCGCGTTTCCGAGGATCAAATGCGAGGTTGAATATGTGTATACCGTGTTGTCTCGGCAAAGAGTATACAGCCGTGCACCATCTCCTCCAAACGCCATGCAAGTAAGACCGAAGCGTCGATACTTCACGTGGCTTTCCGGCTCCTGTGTTGTAGATAGCGGAATCACGGGTCGACCGCGGCGGTTGTTATGTGCGGTTCGCAAGTCCCATAATCTCACACTTGCACTGGCTTCAGAAGCCGTGACAAAGAGATTTTCACGTCCAGGAGACAGGAAAGCGAGCGAGGTCACGGTGATGTCGGTCCGGCCAAAGGGCGGTACTTCATTCTTGTCCATTGCCGGTTTCTGGGAAGTCGTGTAGGCATGAGCCCCTCCAATGGTGTTGAGAACGTGCGGGTATAGCATCTTCGGGGGCGCAGCAGTCGAGGGATTCTCGGCTTCGGACAGAGAGCATTGGACTTGCAATGCAGGCCGTTCAAACCCTTTGCAACGAAGATCCCAGATGTTGACATTTCCATCTCGACTGCATGTAGCAAGAACCTTGTTATTGGAAGCCGGTTGGAATTGGATGCGCTTGACGGAGGAGGAGTGATTCGATAGGCAATGAATGGGTCGTTGTGTTGTCATATCGATAATAAGAGATGTTTGGTCACCAGATGCTGTGGCCAGTAGCATGTCATCAGATGAGAATTCAAGATCCATGATCGAGTTCATGTGCGGACGGAACCCGAGGTACGCATCAGTGAAGCCAGCGACTTCGTCGATTGAGGAGTCTAGTAGTCGAATACCACCCTCTTCGTCGCCAACCGCAACCAGCGAATTTGCTTCCTGTGGGTTAGATTTTGTTTGCAACAGTCAGGACCTGCATGACTTACTGTTACATGAAGCATTGCAGAACGGCAAGGCCGGTGAGCCTTCTGATGCATAGCTAGCACATGTGTGACGGTCCTGGCTTTGAGAATAGAAGTTGGAAGTAAGATCTTGCCATCCTAAATAAATGGATTAGAAACGAGCAGATAAGCTATGTGGTGAATACCAACCAGCGCCAGAGTTGGATCGCAGGGTCGTCCTGTTTGCTCTAGAACCCATCGCGGTTCGCATGAACAATGCGCCAGAGGTTTGCAATGCCTTGGAACGACGCACAGGTGCCACCGGTTTGGATTGTTTTGGTGGACTCGGCGGGGTCGCTTCTCTATGGCGGAGGTCGATATCTCGAATTGTCATATCATGTTCCACTTCGCCCGTCGGAGACCGGACACGAACCCTCTTCAGCGGCGAGGATTGTAGTGGAGAGATGGCAGAAGAGAACGAGTTCTTGCGCTTCCTGCTTGGAGTGCGAATGAAGTCTTCGGGTAAGCCATCGTGGGGACTTCTAGTGCTGCCAGCCTTGGAGGTTCTCGAGAATGCTGGACCCAGGCGGTTGACAGCCGGCGAAGTAAGAGCCCGTAAGGCCTGGCGACTGGTAGATGGGTTGGTCGAATTATCTGCGGTAGGCAGGAGGGAGCGTGGGGTAAAGAATCGTCGGAATGATCGAGGTGTGACCGTCGGTGGCTTTCTGGCTCTGCGGCGGCCACCAGTATCGGAGGAAATGGACGGAGGGGATGAAGGCGGCTCTTGGGGAGGCCGGACAGGTTCTGAATGGGGCACCTCCGGAAGATCGAAGAGGCCCATTGTGTGACGAAAGGAAAGAGAGCAAAGAAAGACGAAAAACTACGAGTGCATGGGCCGGCTAAGGGGATGAATCGGGGAAGATTAGATCTTTTCGTGTCGCGACGTGACGCGATCGTGTCAAGACATTTCACCCCTCCAATCCAGAACTCTTCACAATTTATCCCACGTCAGATTGGTATTTCCTATTTATTTTATTTTGTATTGATTCTATATTAGTTATCTTTATCCTCTATTCCAATTTTCTCTGTCTTCAAAAATTACCATAGCGGAGTGGGGGCGGTTTATAGCCCGTTTTTGTTGTCAACAATCGGAATTCCACACACTCAATCAACTATGCTGGCTGATATTTACATAATTTATCAGGAAGTACGATGAAGGGTGCTTTCAAGATGTTTTAAGCCCGTTATTTATTAATGTAGCTTTGGCAAAAATGTGGTTTGCAAGCTTCAGCGAATTTCTATACCACTATTTATATTGGAAGTATAGGGCTTATGGAACAGATCATTGCTATAACATTCAGTCAAGAAACATACATTCACCAATCGAACATTCTTAATGAATTGAAATTTCTTGCGGCTTGATATGTAATAGTAACACCTGAAGATAATAATAATACCAGGAGCATTTTCCGTGTGTTTAGTCAAATGTTATCGGTTCGATGGACTCTTAGGGCCCTATCAACGCAATGAATCGAACATTTTCTTGATGCAATATCTTTATTAAAGAGACCATCGCTCAAATAGCAAGACTGGACTTCAATTTTAACTGATCAGCACTCTCTCCTGGACCATTTCTCTTGCCAGTCTTAGTTTCTTGAAAGCCACCGTGATAGAAGTCGGCTGTTTCAGATCTACGTGTATGAGATCCTTGGTCTGGCCCTTTCCACTGTGCTCTTTGTCGTAATTATTACCAGACTGAGTCGCCCAGGATGCAACAGGTGACGGAGGAAGACTTGGGTCTCTGACGTCTCTCCCACAGCTCGTTAGATGACCCACGTTACCCAAGTCGACACTGTGTTCCCAAGCTTGAGGCTCATCAAGGTACTCAACTTCCTTGAGATCAATAATCAGCATTTCTCCATTGCCACGAAAGGAAAAGGCCAGATTCTGGTCCTAATGCTCGGCTCCGTGAGCATATAGAATCCTGAGAGCTTCCCCAACTTGAGTCTCCAATGGGGTCACCGCATGTCAGGACATGTTTGCCATGAGCGCCACACTACATTGCTTGCCTTGGTTTCTGAGGCTATTTAGTCTCTTTCCCTTCCATAAAGAATTCAGCATCCTTTTCCTTCTCTCTCCCAGCCTACGTCGACAGGCTATGACCACACTAATCTATATATCAGAGGTTGAGAGAGGTCTAAGCAAATTGCGAGGAACGTTCTGCGTGCAGTACCCGTAAATCCCAAGGTTTCTCAATATAAATAATCGTTGTAACGGGATTTCGCTTTATCTTCAACTTACCATCTTCACTCACCATGTCCTCTCACGCGCCCGACCGGGCAAGCAGTCTGTATTCTATGACGCAGAACTCCTGTGTGTTATTAACCACTTCTACCATGCAGATAACGATCCTAGTCATGAACCCACCGAGCCCACACAAGTCGAGTCTGACTTCTGTGGCGAGGCTTTTCCCGCTCATACCGCCCCGCAAGAAGCTCAACTCACTGCCGAAGAAGAGATGATTATCCTGCTCATGCACCCTCTCATTCCCGGGCTCTTTCTGGGAACTATCTTCGCCTACACTTGGGAAATGCAGGGAATTGTACTCGCATCCACGCGCTATACGGCCTGGGGTGAGATGCTTACCCTCATCGAAAAAGCAAGGAACATGTGCCGTGGCATCTTCCAGTTCCCTGGCTTCGTCTGTCTTTGCCTGGAAAACGGGATGTTCAGTCATGGACACCTTGCCGTGCTCCCGAATAACCCGTAAATGTCAGCAATATCTTCCCAGGTCAGGAGCTATTGAAATTTACCGATCAAATGGAACGGATGGTCTACTCGGAGGCCCGGTACAACATTTTTACGCTTTACGGGGACCTTTATGAGAAAAGAATAAATGTAATGTAATCTGAGCTCTTGATTATTACGAATCGGCTTCAGATACGAAAACGACAATTTTACGCCGTTGTCTCCATCTCATTCAAAGTTTGTATATTTGTGCAGCATATTTGAGGGACAATGGCATGGTGGACCCGCCGCATTATAAACAATTTTGGCAAGGGATAGGCACCGTTGATCACTTTTTGCTCGTCAGGAAGCGTTACGTACATAAAACAGGTATCTATCATAAGTAAAAAATCTACATTATTTTGCTGAACAAGAACTGCTCTCTGGTCCTGAAGGCATGTAGACCTAGTTGCTTCCCGTACGGCCTAAGGTGGGGACCACTTGGCTTTTTGCTCGATATGATAAAGAGACAATTGCTTAAAAGTCTCTGCTAGCTAAACAGTGGCTGTAATGGAAACTAATAGTGGACCAGAGCACAAAGAGCAATATAGGTTGGGATAGTGACGCCTCTCCCAAAGTTTGGAGTCAAGAGGTTAACTTATTTCAGGTTAGGGCACGCTCCGGCACGTTAATGTTCGCCATAATATTCAGGCATCAAATTGCTGACTCACGATCGCTCTCCCAACCTACACCGCCCAAAAGGTTCTGCCGCGACTCGGAATTTTTTTATCTTTTTCTTGAGGATCAAACCGCAATCTGCAACAGAGCACGATTCGGTTTTGCCTGTTCAATTATGGCGCCAATTAAGCGCAAGGGGAATGCCCCTGAGGAAACAGCTGCTCGCCAGCCCCAAAAACGTGCTAAGGTTGGAGCGGAGGAGAACAAAAAAGAGCATAAGAAGGAAAACGATGCCGCCTCCACCGCCGCGAAAGCTTCAGAGCTTTCCGTGTTGCGCGACGACGAGCCTTCGTTCCCTCGTGGTGGTGCAAGCGTCCTGACCCCATTGGAGCGCAAGCAAATCCAGATACAGGCCAACAAGGATGTTCTGTTCGAGCAGAAAGGATCCCAGAAGCCTTCGAAGAAGCCCTCCACCACCTTCGAAGATGAGAGCGACAATGACGTTGAAATGGAGGATGAGGAGACAACCACAACCTCTAAGAAGTCACGGAAGAAGAAGACAAAGGGCAAGAAGCCTACAGACAAGGATTCGACTGAAAAGCAAGAAGTTCGCATTGAGGGTCTCAGCTTCAAGGTACGTGCTGGAAAATCTTTTACGTCGCATTGAATCTAACAGTTGCAGCGCCTTGTTCCTGGAACCATGATTCTCGGTCAAGTTTCAAGCATCAACGCCCACGACATCGGCCTTTCGCTGCCCAATAACCTTACCGGATACGTCCCTCTGACAGCCGTGTCTAAGGGACTCGAGGATAAGATTGAGAAGATGTTGAATGATGAAGGAGAGGATGACGACGAGGACAGCTCGGATGACGAGTCTTTCGATTTGAAGGAGCACTTCTATCTGGGTCAATATCTGCGAACATTCGTTGTCTCCACCGGTGGCAACCCCGCTGATCCCAAGGCCCGGAGCAAGAAGCACATTGAGCTGTCAATCGATCCTAGACAGACCAACACCGGCCTCACAAAATCCGATCTCGTCGTGAACTCGGCTGTTCAGGCATCCGTTGTTAGCGTGGAGGATCACGGTGTGGTTATGGACCTTGGTATTGAGGGCTCAGACGTGAAGGGATTCATGTCGTCCAAGGAGATTGATCCTCATGTGGACTACTCGAATCTCAAGGAAGGATCTGTTTTCCTCTGTATGATCACTGGTCAGAACCCCAGCGGCAATGTTATCAAGCTGTCCACCAACTTCCAAACGTCCGCCTCGATCAAGAAATCGAACTACCTCAGCTCCGCTCCCACAATCAACACCTTCCTCCCCGGTGCCGCCGCAGAAATCCTCCTTACCGAAGTCACATCAAGCGGCATGATCGGAAAGATCATGGGAATGCTCGACGCAACCGTCGATCTGGTTCAGTCTGGTGCCAACAACGGCAAGATTGACCTGGAGAACAAGTTCAAGATGGGTGCCAAGATCAAGGGTCGCATTGTTTCTACTTTCCCGTCTGCCGAGCCCTTCAAGGTTGGCTTCTCGATGCTCGACCACGTCCTCAAGCTTTCTTCTGATCCCCGTGGTCCCCGTTCCTCCGATGAGGCCCCTGCTATCTCCGCCATCATTCCCGAAGCGAAGATCGTGAGGGTTGACCCCGGTATGGGTGTGTATGCTCAGATTGGAGAGACGAAGCACATTGGTTTCGTCCACATGTCAAGGCTCTCCGACGGCAAGGTCGAGATCATTGAGGAAACATCTGGTGCTTTCAAGCTCGACGCTGTCCACGAGGCCAGAGTTGTCGGTTACAACGCCGTCGATAACCTCTACCTGCTCTCATTCGAGAAGTCTGTTCTTGAGCAGCCTTTCCTCCGCGTTGAGGATGTCACCGTTGGTGCCATCGTCAAAGGAAAGGTCGAGAAGCTCTTGATCGGTGCCAATGGCATGGACGGATTAATCATTAACCTGGCCGATGGAATCACTGGTCTTGTTCCATCCATGCACTTCGCCGACACCCAGCTTCAGTTCCCTGAGAAGAAGTTCCGTGAGGGCCAGAAGCTTTCGCTGAGGATTCTCTCCGTCAATGTCGAAAAGCGCCAGATCCGCTTGACCCTGAAGAAGAGTTTGCTCAACAGCGAGTCTGCCATCTGGAAGGACTATAAGGACATCACTCCTGGGTCTCAGTCCCCTGGTACCATTGTCAGCCTGCAGACCCACGGCGCTGTTGTCCAATTCTACGGTGACGTCCGTGCTTTCCTTCCGGTTTCCGAGATGAGTGAGGCCTACATCAAGGACCCTGCCCAGCACTTTAGACAGGGACAGGTCCTCAATGTCCACGCTTTGAGTGTGGACGCCGCCCTCGGCAGACTCACCGTTTCTTGCAAGGATCCTTCTACATTCACTGAGCAGTACCGCAAGGCCTTTGAGACTCTTCACCCCGGTCATCTTGTTAGCGGAACCGTCTTCGAGAAGTCCAACGAGGATGTTCTCCTCAAGCTCGACGAGTCTGGTCTCATTGCTCGTATCGACTCCCAGCACATCATTGACGGACCCCCCTCCAAGCAAAGCTCGATGATGTCCAAACTCCGTGTCGGCCAGAAGCTGAACGATCTCTTGGTTCTCGATATCCAGCGCGCCCACCGTCTCATCAAGGTTTCTAGCAGAGGCAGCATGAAGAAGGCCGCCAAGTCCAAGTCTATGCCCAGCAGCTTTGAGCAGGTGCAAGAGGGTTCCACCGTCACCGGTTTCGTCCGCAACATCACTCCCGATGGTGTCTTTGTAGAGTTCCTTGGTGGTCTTACCGGCTTGCTCCCCAGACGTCTTATCGACGACGCCAACCTCGAGCAGCCTCGTTACGGCCTGTCGAAGGCGCAGACTCTTACCCTCAATGTTCAATCTGTGGATATGGACTTTAAGCGCTTCATTTTGAGCATGAAGCCCGTGGATGCTGCGCCTGTCGCCTCCAAGAAGGCACCTAAGCAGCAGACCGACGACACCGTTGCCAACCCCATCGACAGCAGCATTAAGACCATGTCCGACTTCACTTTCGGCAGAATCGTCGATTGTAAGGTTGTCTCCATCAAGGCCACTCAGATCAACGTCCAGCTGGCGGATAACCTCCAGGGTCGTATCGATGTCTCCGAGATCTTCGACGACTGGAAAGACATCAAGGACCGCAAGCAGCCCTTGCGATTCTTCAAGGCCAAGCAGACCCTTTCCGCCCGGATCCTTGGTGTTCACGATGCTCGCAACCACAAGTTCCTTCCCATCAGCCACCGCTCCGGCAAGTACCCTGTGTTCGAGCTCTCTCTCAAGCCTAGCTACTTGAAAGCTTCCAACCCTGCCCCTCTGAACATGGAGCAGGTTCAGGTAGGATCGTCCTGGATGGGCTTTGTCAACAACGTTGCCGATGACTGTCTCTGGGTCAACCTGTCCCCCAACGTCCGCGGTCGCCTGCGCTTCATGGATGCCTCTGATGACCTGTCTCTATTGACCGATGTTGAGAAGAACTTCCCCATTGGCTCTGCTCTCAAGGTACAGGTCACTGCTGTCGATGCCGAGAAGGGTCACCTCAACCTCACTGCCAAGCAGGGCTACGACAAGCTCGCCTTTGGTGATATCTCTGTTGGCATGATCCTTCCCGGGCGTGTTACCAAGGTCACCGAGAGCCAGGTAATCATGCAGCTCGGCGAGGCCCTCGTCGGCGCGGTCAACTTGGTTGATCTCGCTGATGACTATTCCAAGGCCAACCCTACCGTGCACAATAAGAACGAGGTTCTGCGTGCCTGTGTCATAGCCGTTGACAAGTCTGCCAAGAAAATTTCTCTGTCGCTGCGTCCTTCCAAGGTTCTCAGCTCCTCGCTGCCCGTCCAGGACCGCGAGATCTCTTCTCTCAAGGATGTCAAGCCCAACGATGTCATCCGGGGCTTCGTCAAACGTGTCACTGACTCCGGTTTGTTTGTCGCTCTTAGCCACGACGTCACCGCTTACGTGCGCGTGTCCGATCTTTCCGACTCCTACCTGAAGGAATGGAAGGACTCCTTCCAACCCGACCAGCTGGTCAAGGGTAAAGTCACCTTCGTTGATGCCGATCAAGGCAAGTTGCAGATGAGTTTGAAGGAGTCTGTTCTAGACCCCAACTTCAAGGCTCCCATCACCCTCAAGGACCTCAAGACTGGCCAGATTGTTACCGGCAAGGTCCGCAAGGTTGAGGAGTTCGGTGCTTTCATCGTCGTTGACGGCTCTGCCAACATTAGCGGTCTCTGCCACCGCAGTGAGATGGCTGACAAGCGTGTCGAGGATGCCCGCACCCTGTACGATGAGGGCGATGTTGTCAAGGCCAAGATCATCAAGATTGACCACGCCGCCAAGAAGATCTCCTTCTCGCTGAAGGCTTCCCACTTCCAAGATGAAGAGGAGGAGGAGAGCGACGATGAGGACGAAATGAGCGTTGATGGTCTTGGTGGTGTCGAGCTGGGCGAGGATGACAGCGAAGACGAGGACGATGACGACGAGTCCATGGGAGGCGTCGATGTTGAAGACGACAGTGAGGCAGAGGAAGAAGAATCCGACGAGGATGTGCCGATGCAAGACGCCAAGCCCTCCAAGACTGGCGGCCTCGGCGCGGGCGGCTTCGACTGGAGCGGCAATGTCCAGAAGGACGATGCTGCCGCTCCCTCAGACAGCGATGACGAGGACTCCAAAAAGAAGAAGAAGAAGAACCGCAAGGCCGAGATCCAGGTCGACCGCACCGGCGACCTAGACGCCAACGGCCCGCAGTCAGTCGCTGACTTCGAGCGTCTTCTCCTGGGTGAGCCGGACTCCTCCCTGCTGTGGCTGCAGTACATGGCCTTCCAGCTGGAGTTGGGCGAGGTCGAGAAGGCCCGCTCCGTTGCCGAGCGTGCCCTGCGCACCATCACCATGGGCCAGGATGCCGAGAAGCTCAATATCTGGGTTGCGCTCCTGAACATGGAGAACACCTACGGTGATGACGACAGTCTCGAAGAGGTGTTCAAGCGTGCTTGCCAGTACAACGAGCCCCAGGAGATTTACGAGCGCATGATCAGTATCTACATTCAATCCGGCAAGAACCAGGTATGTGTTCACCCCTCATCAACATCAACTGATATACTAACTACCTTACAGAAAGCAAGTGACCTTTTCTACGAGGCTCTCAAGAAGAAGATCTCCTCCCAATCCCCCAAGTTCTTCTACAACTACGCCAGCTTCCTCTTCGACACGATGAACTCCCCCGACCGCGCCCGAGCTCTCCTCCCGCGTGCCCTGCAGTCCCTCCCGGCCCACACGCACATCGAGACAACATCCAAGTTCGGCCAGCTCGAGTTCCGCTCGGAGAACGGCGACGTGGAGCGCGGCCGAACCGTCTTCGAAGGCCTGCTGTCCTCGTTCCCCAAGCGCATTGACCTGTGGAACGTGCTGCTGGACCTTGAAATCAAGGTCGGCGATGCGGAGCAGGTGCGCCGTCTGTTCGAGCGGGTTCTTGGCTTGCAGAGCGGTAAGAAGGGTGTTAGCATTGACGCTAGCAAGAAGCTCAAGCCTAAGCAGGCCCGCTTCCTCTTTAAGAAGTGGCTTGCCTTTGAGGAGAAGTTGGCTGCTGATAATGGTGATGAGAAGATGGTTGAGGAGGTCAAGGCTCGTGCTGTGACTTACGTGAAGTCGTTGCAGGAGTAGATCTTTCCCTAAAAGTGTACCTCGTGGGTGTTTCGGAGCATTGCATTGTGTACTTGTATATAGATATCACCAGGAAATATGCTTTTTCTTTATCCTATCCCAGCCCAGCATCATAGCATGTGTATACGTACAGAGTAGACATCCAAGTGTTCCTGGTCTTCCTGGTCGGCAGTGGTGGCCAATCACTTCCGGCGCCTCCGCAACATGTTCTCAGCCCTGCGAGATCTTGGCTGATTTCTCTTTTTTCACCTTTTTGAGTGGGACTTTTTTGATAGTAAGTTATATGTGAGGGTTTTAGTCTCGATGCTTTGTCTGTCGTTTCTCTCTCTCTCTCTCTATAGTCTTTTCTCTCTACAAGACTCACTATGAGCTTCCGGCCTTCCCCGCAGAATAGCTCCGCCTCTCTGGACGCTCGCTTTGAACCCTACACAGACTCAATCAACCCAGAGCCAGAAGATACAAACAAAGTCAATGTGCACGTCCAGCCTGTTCGCGACGATGTGGGGCGCCCAGCCCCTCCATGGCGTCGAGTATCGACAGACTCAGCTTGGACTTCATCTCCGAACGAAGACGCCCTCTCCGAAGAGCCAACCCACAAGAAGCGATCTGGTCGCTCAAGATTCCTGCGCGGTCTACTGCGCACCATAGTCGGGATCCTCGTCATGCTGTGAGTCAACCTAATCCTGACCGCTTCGAAGCTGTCAATCTACAAGCCCAGATAGAACAACTCACTAACTATAACTGAACCACAGAGGCATAATTCAATTCGTCTCGATAGCCTGCGGCATCGTCCTCTCATTCTTCCCAGATGAATACGACCGCGCAGCCAAAAACTGGCTCTCAAGCACCAATGACACCAGCATCCAAGACACAACCCACTGGCCAACCGATGTCTCCCGTGATATCATCCCAGTAGCCTGCCATTCCCATAACGACTACTGGCGCCGCGTCCCACTATACTCCGCCCTACAAGCGGGCTGTATCGGCGTCGAGGCCGACGTCTGGCTCTTCGATGACGAGCTCTACGTCGGACATACGACTTCAAGCCTGACGCGCGAACGCACCCTGCAGTCAATGTACGTCAACCCACTCATTTCAATTCTCGAGCGCCAGAACCCTATCACGGAGTTTCAACCGTCACTCGATACCCCGGCCCACGGCGTCTTCGACACGGACCCGGATCAATCGCTTATTTTCTTGATTGATTTCAAAACTGCCGGTGCGGCGACGTATCACGCTGTCGTGGAGCAGCTTGCTCCACTGCGTGAGCGTGGTTATCTTACTCATTTCAATGGCGAGGAGATCGTATCTGGACCTATTACCGTTGTCGGAACGGGGAATGCACCATTCAACCTTATCGATGCAGACTCCTCTTACAGGGATATATTCTTCGACGCGCCGCTCAACAAACTTGTAGACTTCCCCGAAGATTCAGATTCAGAACCAGAACCAGAATCAAACCCCCTCAACAAACACACGAACGACCTAGGCCAAGGCCAAAGCGGCATGCCCTACAAAATAACAGCAACCACCTTCAACGCCACGAATAGCTTCTACGCCTCCATCTCCTTCCGCGCCGCAATCGGCTTTCCTTGGCCGTTCCACTTCACACAGAAGCAAATGGAGCTAATCCGCCGCCAGGTGCGGATTGCGCATGCGCATGGGTTGAAGGTTCGGTATTGGGCGTTGCCGAGTTGGCCGCGGAGTTTGAGGAATCATATTTGGAGGGTTTTGGCGTTGGAGGGTGTTGATGTTCTTAACGTTGATGATCTTGTTGGGGCTACTAAGGGGGAGTGGAATACGAGAATTTTTGATTGGTGGCCTTGATCTTTGATTATAGATCAAACTACTATGGTTATGATTTTTTATGTTATGGATCGGGGGCGTTGACTTTTGCTGATTTATGATACCTGATACCTTGATACTGTTATGTTGTGCTATTTGATAGATATTCCTTTCTTTGCTATATATCTGGCATTTTATTCTATTCTATTATCATGGGAGATCAGGATACTGACACTAACGGCTATTGCCTTGATAGCCGAAGAAATGATATCAAAATGAAGATCAAAATGAAGATCAAAATGAAGATCAACTGAAAGTGATATATCGCTGCAATCTTATTTTTGGTTTCTGCGGCACCAAATGCTCTGCAGACAATAATGCAAATCAAATCCTTAACTCAGGTTGAGGTGAAAGCCCCAACGCCCTGATAGCCGACAAGCAGGCAACGACGCCAAAATGCTTCCAGTAAATGAGATCAAATCACAAGCATGTAACAGAATGAGAATCGACTCGGACGATCTCAGAATGAAAACAGGAGGAAAAAGCAATAACCAAGGCCGTAAGACAGATCGTTTGCGTGCGTGGATGAATGGTTGATTCCCTCGACCAGCGGAGAGAATCCAAGACACCATCAAGAGAGATCAACCAACAAGGGACAATCACAGACAAAACAGCGCCTCCTCACCAAATTCTCGAGTCACACTTCCCTCCTCCCGAATCAACCCCCCAAGCCAATGCTTAGCTGTCTCAAAGTCCTTAGCTCCAAACTTAACAAGCACAAACCCAGCCCGCACCCGCGCCGCCGTCCACGTCACATCACCATGATGACTAACGGACGGTTCAGGTACAGCAGCTGATCCATGATCAGACCAATTGCGACTACCAATGCGCGGTTGCGTCTGGAATTCGTGCATGAGATACGAGCCCAACGCTTCAAAGACAGGACCGGAGAGGATTAACGTGCCCACGACGCCATGAGGCCGAGTCCGTTCTTGGATGATGTTCATGGGCGTTAAGCCATTCTGTGGCGGCCGAGGACGACTGGAGGTGATGGAGTTAGAATTGGAATTGGAGTTGGAGTTCGAATGATTATCAAGTCCGTTATGGATATTGACATCCGTACGCTCGACTTCATCTTCCGAATACTCGTCCTCCTCGTCGCTGGTGTCCTCGGATTCATCGTCGAGAATAACCGAGTCACGGAGTAAGAGCCTGCTCTTGCCCGTTTTCTCATCTGCAGCCCAGACTTCATTGCGGCCGCGCCAGAAGCGGAAGTTCCAGTTTTCGCCGCGGGATGTCCGGCCTTGCGTTACCCAGTCTAGGACACACAGACTACTCCGCTGGTCGCCTTTTGCCGTGGCGTCGACGGTGAAGGTTTGGATTTGGGCGTAGCGGCTGTTTTGGAAGGGGACTGAGGGGTCGGGGAGGTAGCAGAGGGCGGCTTGGCGGCCGATGTGCACGTCGAGGGTTTGCTGGCTCATGTCGGAGATACTGGGGTTTGCGGGCATTTGCTTGCGGTGGCCCTTGATGACATTGGGGCTATTTGCGCTGTTGTTTGGGTCTGTTTTGAAGATCTTCGTGCTGCCCTGCGGGGTTGTGACTACCATGCGGGTCTTGGCTTCTAGGGTGATGGAGACTTCGATGTGGTCACCCGGCAGCAGGCCGCCGCCGTAGGTGAGGAGGTAGAGATGTACTGGGTGTGAGGGACATGAGTCGGAGAGGGCGGAGGATTCGGGGCTTGGGACGAAGCCGCCAGTTCGGGGGACGAGCTTCAATGGGTATTTGTATGTGAGGGTCGTGAGGGTCGGGTTTGCTGGTGGGAGGAGGGAGAGGACGACTTTCCCTTGGCCTGGTTTCGCAATGGAGGATTGGAAGGGCGAGGGAATGGGAGCTGCTGGTTGTCGCATGGTGGTTGGTTGAGCTAGACGGCCAGGCATGAGGGATTTTGTACTCTGTAGAATTGGTATAAAAGGGGACACGGTATTAAAGAGGAATCAAGAGGAATGTTATGAGTGGCAGTGCCGATGGTTGTTGTGAAAACAGATTTACCCCGGAATCTGCACGGGTACTTAGCGGCAGTGATGGTGACATCTTAGTCACCGCTTCAAGCGGGGGGCCTGTGACCAACTGCATCTTTCTTGGGCCCAATACTGAAGAATTAGACGGTGGATAATCGAGGATCATTGGTACTCGCATAGACACAAGCCAGAATGAGAGGCTGTAGATATTTCTATGACAAAGAGTATCCCCGCATTTCCACTCGGTCCGGCGGGTTACTTCTTGGCGCAGCTTTGTATGTCATTTGATCTGCATTTGTAGGTAATAATAGTCTAGGCTCCAGGGGATACAGGGATACAGAGGACAGGGGGGAAGGGCCAAAAGTCAAGCCACGGGACCAGAGACTATAAAGTCAGAATAGACTGACCACATGACTCTGGACTCAGCACGCCATTAACATCTAAAGGGTCAAGGTCACAACGTATAAGTTAGTAACCTGAGATGTACGGTGACGCAGGTCTATGCAGCCGCAAGATACGTAATGTTCATGCATGTGCGATGGGACTTCTCTTTTCCGGTATAGGCGGAGTATCCCCCGCTGGACTATGAGTTGTCCTGTGCATATAGAGAGCTCTTACTGTGCTAGAGGTTCTATCTGATTCAAGACCCTGAGGCTCCTAGATGCTAAATTCGACAAAGATATTACACATCTACAGTATCAAGGTGTCTATTCATTGGGAAGATAGATAGTTCTGGGCTCAAGGAAACACAGTCCTCAATTATTTAACGACCAAAGTAGCGCGGTAAAGAAGATGTGCTTGGTAATGATAGTCACAACAAGGCTTCCAAGGCTGCTGCTACATGTATGCATGAAGCACGTAAGTTAGTCTTGCTCTCACGGAAATAGCATCAGGCGAGGTCTCAACGGACACCTAATATACAAGGCACCAACAATAAGGCACCAATTTCGGCCCCATAAATCAGGCTGTCAATCAGGCGTCAAGGCACGAGTCGCGTCTCCTTTCAATCTTCCCCCACTCTGTCACTGGACATTTCCGAGTGCTTTGATTGAGCTCCGTTCAACTTTGGCCAGCGGTGCGCCTGTCGCAGTTACACCACACTGTCAATTTGAACTTATTACGCCCGCCTGTTTCGGTTGCTCGGTACCACCGCGCGTTGCACGGAGCGCGTCCCATTACACTCACTACCAGATCCACCGCCTCCATTCGAGGCAATTGACCAACGCGCCTTTCTTCAGTACTGCACATTTATATCTCACATTAATCCATCACCATGGATATCGACAACCCACCTCTATCAAGCCCCGGCCAGTCCACCCCCGCCGAAGACCGACGCAAATCTGGTCGGATGACGCGACGACCGGAGGTGTTTTCGCAAAGCCAACACTCTGAAGAAATAGCTGGGGGGAAACGCAAGCGAGGTGAGGCACGCGGCGACGAAGATGACGACGAAGAAGACGCGTCTGAGTCTGAGAGCGATACCGGTGACGATGAAGCGGACGAGGAGGAGTTGAGAGAGAAGCGACGTGCCGGACGTCGTACGGGCGCTAAAAAGTCATCAAAATCGAAGTCGAAGTCGCATGCATCGAAGAAGCCAAAGGTCGCCGGTAATGGATTAGGTAGACTCGCTTTTCGTCCTGCTGCCAATGGCCGACTTCCGACTGCACGTCGTCGGAAACCCAAGGTTCGACCTAGTCTTGCGGCCGGCGAACGTGGACTGTTTGGTAAGTGGACCCTGCAAGCACAATCGACGCACGGCTAACACTATACTAGCGGAGGTTTTTGGAAAGAGCAACAACCCTGACACAGTCGCCGCTCAGTGGCTGTCACAATACCAACGTAATAATGGCCTGGCTATGCGAGACCTGGTCAACTTCATCCTCCGATGCGCCGGAACTGACCTCGAGGTGGACAATGATGAAGTGGCTGATGTCGATAATGCCCCCGATCGAATTACAGATCTCCAGGCCCTTTACCAAGCAGAGGGTATCACCGAATATCCTCTCATCTCCAAGTCAAAAAAGTTCCGTGCTTTCCAGCCCCTCCTCGAGGATTTCGTTGTTGCATTGATCAAAACCTTCCACGCCTCTACAGTCTTGTACACCGACGATGCTGTGCTCGAAAACATCCAAATCTGGGTCTCTACCATGTCGACCTCAGAATGCAGACCTTTCAGACACACAGCTACTATGATCTCCCTCGGAATCATGAACGCCTTGTGTGATATTGCCCGCGAGGTCACAACCAGCGTGACAACCTCTCGCAAACAACTTGAGAGTGAAAAGAAGAAGAAGAACGTCAACAAGGGCCGCGTGGAGGCGATCCAAACAGCTGTCACAGAGGGCGAACAGAAGGTCGAGCGACTAGACGAATTCCTGCAGGATTGGTTTGATACTATCTTTGTACACCGCTACCGAGACATTGATGGTCAGATCCGAGCCGAATGTCTGACAGCCCTAGGCGGATGGATTCGCGCATACCGGGAGGTTTTCTTCGAAGGCCAGTATCTACGATACCTGGGATGGACGCTTGCCGACATTGTACCTCAGACCAGACTTGTTGTTCTCTCTGAGCTGATTTCTCTATATGAGAACCGAGACAACATTGCTGGTTTGCACTCATTCACTGAGCGCTTCCGTCAACGCATTGTGGAGATTGCCGTCCAAGATGCTGATGTTTCTGTGCGTGTCGCTGCCGTTGAGCTGCTCATCCACCTGCGTGAAGGAGGTCTCCTTGAACCGGATGACATTGATGCCATCGGCCGACTGGTGTTCGACCTGGAACCCCGTATCCGGAAAACAGCAGGCCGCTTCTTTGTTTCTAATGTCGAGGATGCATTCGAATCGATTACTGAGGAGGTTGGAGAGGAGCTCAATGAACTGCTAGCCGATGACGATGAGGATGACTACGAGTCGCCTAAGCGTTCATGGATCAAGTTCAAATGCCTTACCGACCTGTTCCAGTCTTACGATGCGCAACAAACTGAACAGCAACCAGACCCATCCCCTCGTGACAGACTGTTGGGAGTGCCCTTGGAGTCGCGCTTTGCTCTGGCTACCGAAGCTGTCTACGCTCATATGGAAGAGCTTGGTCAATGGCCCTCGCTGGCTGGGTATCTGCTCTATGATCACTCCCAGATCACAGACGAACCGTCTGAGGATGATACCGCAGGCGTTGTGAAGAACCTATACAAACTGGAAGAGGGACAGGAAGCCATCCTTCTGGAGGTTCTCTGTGCTGCAGTCAAGCTGAAGGTTCTGGATGTTGCCAAATCTGACATCGACAAGCGTGGCCGCAAGGTCAAGGCTCTGACATCCAAGATCCCCGAGCTTCAAGAAGAGATCTCCCACAATCTCGCACAAATCATCCCACGTCTTCTGAACAAGTTTGGGTCCGCGCCGGAATCAGCTTCTGCTGTCCTGCGCCTGGAGCACCTTGTGGACCTGGATACAATCCAGGATCTCCAGAAGGATGCTACCGCCTATTCCTCCCTGCTCAATGATATCAACAAACAATTCTTGACCCATTCGGACCAAGACGTTCTGGCTGAGGCTAGTGTTGCCTTCTTGCATGCAAAGAGCTCCGATGAGATGAAGGAGGTGCTGGAGAGCAAGGTCCAGGAGTTGTGGGATGACATGGTCGAGGCACTAGGCGCTCTATCGCGGAAGAAGGACGTTCAAGAAGGTGGCTCGATATCTGATCCTACTCTCACCGACCTGACCAACACCGTTACACGCATCTCCCACCTGGCCGGTATCACAGACTGCACCGCAATCCTGGAAACCGTGCCAAACTCCCGCTCAAAATCCAAAAAGGACCACCCGGAAGCCCCCTTTAACACCCTCATCCGCCTCGCCGAGCGCGGCCTCCGCATGGAAGATGACGACGAAGACACCGCCATAACAGAGACAGAGCTAGTGACAAGCAGTATCCGCACACTGCTATTCTATTTCATGTGGAAGGTGCAGGCACTGTCCACAGCCCTAAATGAAGGAAAAGCAGCCTTCACCACTGCCTACTTCGAAGCCCTTACAAAAAGCCGCGAAACCTTCGCCGACACCCTAGTCAACATCATGAACTCCCGCGCAGGCCTCGACAACCTCCGCGTAATAGCAACAACAACCTACCTCGACCTCCAAACCCTCTTCAGCACTCTCCGCAACCTAGGCACAGGCAGCACAAACGACGAAGACACCCTCTTCCAAACCCAAAGCCTAATTCACGAAATCGGCCCAGAAACCCAAGCCCTCCTCTCCAAAATACACAACAGCGCCGAAAGAACCTGGGCCAAGAAATCAGGTCTAGACCACGAACCCGCAGACGACGATGAACCAGCCTCAGAAGATGAACCCGAAGACGAAGACGAAGCCAGCGATGAAGAAGACGAAGCCGTTCTCAACGAACGGCTTCGCTCTAGCATCTTCGCTGAACAGCGTCTCTGCGAGATAACAGGGAAACTCGTCTTGGCCATCATCGCCCGTGTCATCGATGCATCTGGCGCGAAGCGTGGCGCGTTGAAGAAACGTCTACTTCGGAACAAGACCGTTCTTGGTCAGAATTATCGTGAGGTCTTGTCTTATCTTGAAGAGAGGAAGCCTAGAGCTGCGGCGTCTAGGAGTAAGGGTAAGCAGGCTGCTAAATCTGCTGCTAAGTCTGCTTCTGCTGCACCTCCTACTCCTGCTAAGGAGAGTAAGTCTGCGGAACATGTTAATGATGAGGAAGAGGAACATCCTGAGACTGTGGAGGAAGATGAGGATGAGGATTTGCGGGCCCGTGGTCTTGTTGAAGAAGATATTGATCGAGAGGGTGGGGATGGAGATGAGGACGAGGGATTAAATTCTGCACCTGAGGATGAGGATGAGGTGATGGGTGATTAAATTTGATGGGATTTTATTCTTGTCTCAATTGATGGGTTAACGTGTGTTCTGAAAAATAATCTCCTTTTTTTTTTTCTTTTTCAGATCTTCTCTTCATGTCATATGTTGTGGCTTGAGGTGATTTGACTCGATTGTATCTCTCTCTCTTTTTCTTTTTCTTTGCTTCTGTTCTTGTTTGCGTGGACATCGACCTTTTCATTCTGTATGTTATATTCTTCTTTTGCTTTTATTTGCTTTGGTTTGGTATGAGTTGAATCTATTCCCCTCTGTTTTCGCGGTATATTTTTTGAATTTTGATGATACTTGCAATATATCAAGACATGTTTGGGTCATTGAACTTGGACTACGTGCATTAAGTTATACGGCTGACATGTATCATTGCAACATTGAAAGCCGAGCAGTATGTTACAATCTTTCCCGGGAAAAGCTTAAGATGCCCCTTAGAATAACAGCTCCTACGATGACTACGAAATAGATTGAATAGATTGATCAAAAAATTGGCATTTTTCCTGGAAAACTTCAAGGTGACCATGAGAAAAGCACAATCGACAAACATTTTCAGGGGCATGTCTTGGCCAGGCTGTCGACGACACACTAGGGCTATCGTCCACAATACATGCCCCTGTTGTCATCGAGCGAGGGGAAGCTCCCGCGCAGGAGACCAAAACCCCGCCAGGGAACACCAGGGGGTTGGGGGACATTAACATAACTGGAGAGAAAACCGATTCTGCAAACAAATACGCCTGTGTATGAGGATGCTAAAGGGGGGAGGGGG